TGTACCGTATATAATAGCTCCGCGCTGGAAGTGGGCATTTATTTTGAGCAGGGCTCCAGCACATTATTCATTTAAAATAATGGCTGTAGAAAGGGGTCCTCCACTCAAAACGTTTACGCGAAATGAGAAAATATCGCGGAAAATGACTTTTCGTCATGAAAAAAAAAAAGGAATGTAATCTTCCTCGCATCGCCAGTGCACAGAGGAATACAATATTTTTCACTGCATCATTGGCTTGCATATATACAGCTCAACCTGGAAGGCTCAATGCACCGACGTTTAACGCAACATCGTGATTATTGATCAAACTACATGTCCGCGAAAAACCGCACATTTTTCCAAGATTCCCCCCATATTTTTCATTCACAATTTATTGTTCTTGGAAAACGACAAAAACCGGGGCCGGCGATAGAATGACTCGCCCATCAAAGGAATAAATTATAAATTAAGGACTTATTCGCAGCAGCAAGTCCAAATTTTTCGCTCAATCACTCTTCAAATAGAGTACCTGTACTGTATAATTCGTAAGTTCGATGAGACTTTTCCACGCTTATTTTCGAAAATGCCGGTGGAGCAGCAGCACAGCGATTTCGTATTACACTCTACAACTTCTTCCTTTTTAACACATTTTTATTAACTTGCTTTCTTGTCTGTTTGTTTGTCTGGATCAAATTTTGCAACTCAAATTTTGCTCACTTCCCGACTAGCTAGCATTTAAGGTTATTTTTTGCTTTTTGAAAACGTGGTTTTTTAGATTAATTTTTTAATCAACTAAATTTTTACGAAACAAACTCGTACTGTATTTGTTTAGGGCCCAGGCACATAACCATCAAATGGAAAACTAACCACATACAGTAGTTGAACCTCAATAACTCGAACATAATCTCGCCGAATAGCTTTTAATACTGTACCTCCCTTTGTCAAATGTTTTTTCAAGTCCCTGTCTAAATTCCCTCACAGAAACGGTGCATATTGAAAACCGACCAAACTCAAAGGCTTTTCTCCTCAAATCCAGCATACCTCGAATTTTATGAAAGCTTTTTGGTTCTCACAGTATTTGATTGACATATGGGACAGAAAACAAAAGCAATAAAAATATATCTTGATGTGCATTATTGAAAGAAAGTGGAATCGGGCAAATGACGACCCCTTCCCTCCAAATTCAGAATCCTTCTCGATTATAAATAAATTTAAGTCCTATTTTACCAATTAAAATGTCCTGCAATTCTTTCTTTATACCAGTGGTGCCCAACTCAGAAGTGGCCAAGGGCCACATTGAAGTAGAAGAGCATTATGCAGGCCAAAATGGACAAAAGGAAGAAATGTTGTCCAGTAAATTGGATAATTCATGAATTTCCGGGATGGTTTAATGTTAAACTATTCTAATTCATAAGCAATCAAGTTCTAGTCTATAATCAAGTTCAATAAGTATTTCAAGATTTTCATTATCTGGCTATTTGACTTTTTTCATCTACAAACTTTTCTGCTTCATTTTTACTAATACAGTTCAACTTGTATCTTCATTACTTTATGACTGGATTTTTCTTAATGGAATCATAGAATTCAATCTGCAAAACTTTTCAAAAAGATTCAATCAAAGTCCAAAAGCAGTAAGTAATGGAAAATTATGAGTGAATTTAAATGTTGAGAATAATAATAATCAGGTTGTCTGAGGACAACCTGAAATTTTAGTGCAATTGAAAACTCCTTAAGATTCACTAAGAATCTGGAGAAAACCAGAAAATAAGTGTCTAAGAAAGAAACATATTTGGTGCAGAGTTGCTTTGGGAAAGCATCAAATTGTCTTTGTATCTAAATGTCCATGTCTCCAAGTGTCCGTGTCACTAAATCACCCTGGCTCAAATTGGCCCTCTGTCTCAAATTGGCCCTGTCGCATGTTGACCCTGACTCAAATTTTCCATCTCAATTGGCCCAGCAGTGTTGAATTGTCTTTCTAAATTTGTCCATATCCCTTCACATTTTCATTTTTACATGATGGTCTACTTTTGTTCATGCTATTAAAAAAATTAAGCTGCTTTATATCTTTCCCTCATCAAGATATGCAATTAAATTAAAAACATGACAGAAAATGCTGGGGTAACTGACATCACAAAGCAATGCAAACTGTTCTTTCTGGTTAGAAGGAATCATAACAGAATTCATGAAGCCCTAATAAAATTCCTGATCAAAATTGCTGGCTGAAGACGTCTTGAAAAACTTGCAATTTTTCCTTTTTGAGGGTCTCAATTTTTTGTGGAGATTTTCTATGCTAGCTCCGCGGGCCAGATGAAAAGCCTCCGCGGGACAGATCTGGCCCGCGGGCCGTATCTTGGGCACCCCTGCTTTATACAGTATCTCCCCCAACACACATGCATTGATGCATGTGTGTTCCCTCAACTCAAAACATTCCTAACTCGAATTCAATTTGCAGGTCCTTTTTGAAGTTCGACCACAAGAAGTTGAACTTCAAGTGCCACCTGCTCTGCCGTTCTTACAGTCGCGTGTACATATATACAACAGTTTCACTACTTTTTCGAATAAATCGAGCAAATTTCACGCACAGGATCAAAATAAGGTTTGCTTTTGAGCCAAACATCGATTCCGGTAAATTGGACACGGTAACGAGACTTGAGTTTGACGTATCACACGTGGACTGGGGAAAGGGAGAACAATGAAAACGGCATATGAAATGCACAATATCGGTATACTTTTCCCGTTCCAACGAAATAAACGCGCGGCTCACGTTGCACTGAAGAAGAAAAAACGCGTGAGTCGCAATTTCCACGAGACAAAATAATAATGTAACTGATATACAGTGCGTAAAATACTAGTTTTTCATTAACATTTTCATTGTGAAGGAGAAAAATCGAGATTATCGGTGATTAATCGCGTTGTTCCAGCACGTACGTTGCCCCAGCTCGAATCCACGAGACGACGGCGTTTCTTTCGCGAGTTCAAGAAGCGCGATTAACTTTCTTTGGCACCGAAAAGAAATCAGTTATAACGAAGAAGATAATTTTTACAACGCGCAGAAAACACAGTGATGGTCTCTCTGTACTACGACGACGAACCGTCTTATTACGAATCGAGGCCATACTGCCGGTTTTTTAAAGGAAAATGCCAGCGGGGTATCGATTAGCGGACTGCATGTCGCATCATCCAACCAGGCTTCTGTGCTGCATGGGCATGATGATTTAGTAATGTTTCTGCCCGCGCAGCTCTTGTGATAATTCAATTTTAATACACATCAGAAACGCGGGAAAGCACACTTTATTGAAGATATAAACGGAAGTGGCAAGCTTTGCTGAAGCATGCAGCAGCTCAATGAATGCTCTTTCCACAACGACCCAGAATTATTTAATAATCTAAAAACCACGGGTGTAGACATAAGGCATTGACCCTGAAAAAGAAGGTTGAGGACCAAGTCCTTCCCAGGCACCTTGAAGTCAGTGACACAAATTCAGAGGCACAGCAGCAAAATCAAACCAAATTGATGGTGATATAGTACTGTATACAGTACTATATACCATATGCCCATATACGACTAAAACGAGGGTTGGTTGGTTCGTAAAAGACGATAATCAGCCACTTGCCATCATTGGAGGTGGGTGCAAATTTTTCTTTTGCTCTTTGCCAATCCTTCATTGGTGTCTAATACATTTTTAATCCACTGCTCTGCTACAGAAGGAACCAAGAAAAACCTGGATCACAGTGAATGTCCTCCGCTGAAATGAAGCTAGTTTAGTTGATCAAGAGCAGCTGAATGCCCACTTGCTTGCTCTAAGACTTTGGGGGTTACTTGGTTAACTTCACTTCAGTAGAGGGCTGAGTAGTGAATTGAAAAATTAATTAAAATTAGAGCAAAAAAAAAAATTACATCTGCCTCCGATGGCGGCAAGTGACGGTTTATTGTCTTTTATGAACCAACCCTAGTAACTTATCAATCATAATGAGATATTTCTCATGATTGATGAGCCAGGAGAAGCGTTACACATATGCATAACTGCATAGGGTAACCCTATCTCATTCCATTAATTATATATATTATAAATTACATGGCAACCACTGCTTGAGTGACCATGGCAAAAGAATACTAAGGAACTTGAGCAAAAAAATTCAACTGAATTTACCGAATTGGAATTGACTGATAAACTCAGCACCTTTGCTTTTCACTTCTTTTTACTTGCGCTGCAATATTCTCTTCAATGAGCTTTGTCATGATTTACAGCTGCACTGAAGTTTGCTACAGTATACATGAACTCGATTTTTCTATCACTCAACATATCAGTTCCTCATTAAATAACAGATCCATGCTTAAACATGGGAATGGTTGCTGTCAGTTGGATCTCAATGACTTGAACTTCCATTATTCACTCCCTAATTCAAATACTCCTTATCTCAATATTTATTTTAAATCCCTGTCTGAAATACATAATGAAAAATACATCATCAACCTACCTTATCCCAAAAATCTTCTATGACTCAAATTTGCTGGAGGCCTTGAGCTAATATTTCGGGGAGTTCCGGAAGAAAAACGCGTTAAAAATTTTGTAATACCTTTCACAAGGAAGTGAACTTAGTGACTAATTAATCAAATGAATCCTTGCCTCCAAGTTCAGCATCCTGTAAAATCATTCAAGAATCAGTTTAAGGCTATGATCACCAATTCCAATGTCCAGTATTTTTTCTACGTAACTTAAATGCTTGTTTCCTTAACGTCAAAACCTCCGTAAGAGGAATTTTTTGGTCTGTTGAAAATTACTCAAAGATATTCCATTCAACTTCAATGCGAGAAATTAGTAATGAGCTTCGGGGTACACTCACCATGCTTCTGTTCCCGAGCAGTGCAGCCTTTTTCTCCTCCCCCAAAACACAAAGCAGGTCTTGACATTCGGATGTTCCGCTTCTGAGAAAACCAGGAAGGATTCCGCTGGTGACAAAAATTACGAAAATTCAACGCCATATTTTGTAGAAAATTCAATAAATGCAAACCCCACGAATTTCGCATCAACTTTACAAATATAATATCACAGGAAATCCTTATTTCACGACGAATAAAACTAGGATATAATCAATATTCAAATATCATCACGTACAGCCCAAAAAAAAAGCGAACAGCGTCGAAAAAAAGACACAATATATCGGCAATGATCCGACGGATGCGGATTTCGCGAAAAAACGACGCCAGTAAAACCCAACCGCGCTTGATCATTAAAAAATGTTCTTCGACTTCAAAAAATCGTCCTTCGTTGCACGAAGATCAAGGACCTAAACAATACCAACAAAAATAAAATCGCTACCACCGACCATCCACTCGGAAGGACGAAATCACAGCTCATCAGCCACTTGAACGCGGGCGAAGCCATGATCAACAGTGACGATACCTTCCATAAATAAATAATAATAAAAAACACCAAACACTCAAATTCCACGTTTTGCCACAGAACTGATCATCAGATAAGAGAGTAAATCAGAATCTGATTGACAAAAAAAAAAATTCCACATAAAAGATTTTCGAAGATTAAGGAAATCTCTCACTTTCCACGAAAATGCAAAACATAATTATTCTTGCTTAAATCGCTCCTTTCTGAATTATCCAACCCTCCAAAATGTCCGTTCAATCCAAAGGTTCATCGTATAATCCCAAAAATCCAAGCGAACTAGAATTTCTCGCCAGCACAATTGACAGAAGCCGTAGATCAAAATTGCACAGAATATAAATCAAAGCAGGTCGAAAAAGCCATCTACTTCAAGCACTCGAATCCCACATTGAAATACGGGGACGACTGTTAAAACTCTTAAAAGATTATTAAGCGTCAAAGAATTCGACAACTAAGTCCACAATTCTATGCAAATATATATTGTAGTAGTCTTTCCTCGCCTCACAGGAATGCATCAGATGTGATCGTTCACGCTAAATCATTCCACCCTGAATACTCGAAGTCGCTAAAAAAAAATTCCAGCCGGAGAATCCTCCTCGAATTAAAAAAAACTAGTCGAACAAGGATTTCTCGCCTGGACACTCAACAGAAGCCAATGCTCTCCCTCGCACAGAATATACCTAATGTAAAATAAGCCGTTATCGCAACAGTGTGATTTTCAAATACAATCCTTTTCTTCCCATTCCTCGATCTACTCAGACAAACGACACCAATTAAACCAAAACTGAGTCCCTCACTATTCTGAAGAGAAGCTTTGGTATTGAATCGATATCATGACTTTTCTTTACAGATGAGAGTTGAACGCCTTCACGCAGAAAATCATGAAACTAAAAAGTGTTGATAATAAAATACGTGCGACGAATCCCACGCAAAATAAATTTTTTTCTGAAAATTAAAAACCCGCAGAACTCCTTCTATCCGGGAGAACGAGATCTGAGTTCACACCCAGATTAAGAAATACCAGAGATAATCGGCTAATTAAATAAAATATTTTCTGGTTATTGAAAGAGAATGAAGTGACTCGTGCTAAAATTCACCAGGAAACTTCGGATTCCCTCTAGTTCGGGCATGATTGCTCAAACGCACACACTATCAAATCTCAGATACTGAGGGTTCTACTGAGGACCATTTTTCACGCATTTAAAAACTCGAACGATTGTTCTTCATTCTGACTAAACTCCACGTTTCATCGATTAAAAAGAAAGCATCAGCCTTGAAGCGTAAACCAGGCTACAGTTTCCTGCGTTAAGTCTCTATCTGCCAGCGGGATCAACACTCTGCCCAAGAACTCGTTTTCCTGCAATTTGTCGTATCCATAAACCGCTACTTGAAGCGTTCTTGTTGCCACGGTTCCTATCGGTACACGATACTCAATCATCTCCATGAACGTCGGGTGACGAGTCTTCGCAACGATCCGCGTTTTCCGCTTTGTTCGCTTCTGCGGATCCGGCAACAAGTACAACTTGACATAGACGCTCGGATCCGTCTCACTCCTGGTTGCCAAGTCCCGCGCGTGATGCACCATGACGCGGAACGCGTCTTTCGAATAACAGAACGACAACTGGAGCTTGCCGGTAATGTGTGATCTTTGACGCGGAGGCCGTTGGGTGACGTTGTCTTGCCTGAGTTTCAACGCGTGAATGTCGGCTTCTTCTTGATCGCGTAACAAGGGATGAAAGAATGTGTAGACGAGGTCACAGTGAGCTATTTCTTCGCGCAGGCGGAATAATTCGTAGAGAAACTTGTCGATGTGATATTTGCGTCGTTCGGCCACGTCACGGACATGGGAACGACCGATAACTCCGGTCGGCAAACTCGAAAACTCGACAAAGGGAAATCGAGTACAAAGCTTCTGATGCAGTTCGAGAAATTCCTTATAGCTACGGAACAGGTAACTCGGCTGATTTTGGTTCTCCCGTCTCACACGAGCAATATACATGTACTGCTTCCCACCTCCATAACGTTTCTGTGGTTAAAAAAAAACATGACATGCATGAACAACCATACGTAGAACTACAATCACGTCGAAAACTTGATGTTAGACCAGTGCAATACTGAAAAATTTTGAGATGTCAACCAAAATCCGACACCTGCTCGAGTTGATCAAAGTAGGTACAAGAACGAAAATGGAACATCTCACCGCGCCTCTCGAACATTCGAAAGGCGGGGACGAAACGAAAAAAAAAAGATAATAAAAATGTCAAAAACTCATCAGTTTTCAATAGGTCTCAAATCCTTGCTAACTCGGGAACGCGTTAGAAATGTAATACTCACTTGGATACCATAAACGGAAGCATTGACGATGCGATCCTCTCCGTCAGCATCCACTGAATGACGTTTCGGTACAAAGGACAAGAGCCCTCCGTTCCCACCGGTTTCTTCGTCTGTTCCTTCGCCCGCAAATCTCAATTGCCCCAGGCTGTGAATGAAGAAGTTGGCTTGCGTGAACCAACAATGCATCGCGGACCGAATCATTTGCGTAAACTGCGCCATGGCTTCAGGCCGAGTCATTCCTGGCAGTAAAGCTCGCTGAACGTACTTCACCGCCGCACCGGTCACACCTTCGCATGAAAATAAATTCAAATCAAGGAAATTATTAAAATTGATAATGGTAAACCAATGCATGTGAATTCTCACAAAACTCGGCTCTGAGTGATTTAAGGGTGGAGTCGGGTAAAGCAGTTGGGTTTCCGAAGACAAAAATTTCAGATCATCTCGTAAACATTCGACGGGAAAGTTTGTCTGTTTTCTGAATTGAGCAGAAAATAAAATGATCATACGCTGGGTAAAAATAATATGTTGAAATCTTACGATACTAGGACACGTCCGTTTATTCGGATATTTTTGGACAGTTTCTTTAGATAAATAGCAGTTATTAACATTAGATTATGATTTGATATTCACGCGAACATCCAACGCACCGCTTTAGATTGAAATTCACAAGGACAGATCACAGGACGGTACATCAAGTTGTAGTCGTACGTAATCAAAATATCAAATGATTTGATACCTCATAAAAAATTATGAAACCCTTTACAGCTGCTGGGGATAAATTTAGAACATGATTTTGGATGGATAAAAAAAACTAAAATAAGTTCCTGATAACATGAACCCATTGGAAGATAAAATTAAAATAATTGTTGAAAAGGAAAACATTCTCACCTGGAATTCCAGCATTGGTCATCAGCGCGAACAGATTGAGGAAAAGGTCGGAATTATTTCGCAGGACATTGAATGCATCGCAGCAGAGATCAACAAATCGTTGAAATTTATACGAGGGTTTCTCTCCACCGTTGATCACGTACACCATATCTGGAGTAAGCACAAACGGGCTCCGATCTCGCTTCAAGAGATTGCCGAACATTTCCGCATCACCCAAGAATTTCCCAAAATCAATGTGGAACATATGGCCGGTCGTCTTCAGCATGATGTTATCGTTGTGACGATCGCAAACGCCGAGAAAATAAGTAGCCACGCAATAACCCGCACAAGACAGGGTAAAATTTTCCACCCCTCTTTCATAATCAAGCTTGCTGGGATTATGCTTCTTGAGCCATTCGGCTATTGGTCGGTCTTTGAACGCTCCGGTGAGACCGAATTCGGCTTGGATTTTACGCAAAGTATCAGCTTCCGTAACCATTTCCACGAACCCGGTTTTATGACCAGTTGCAACGCAATCGAAGTGAACAAGTTTCAAATCCAGACCTTCTTTGACCCATAAGCGGTCCATGATGCGTACCATTTGCATTGTAAGAATGTCTTGCCTCAAATCGTCTCCAACTTTGTAGATTGCATTAACGACGCCATTGGTGTCTTCGGAATCTTGGGTTATGAAGGCGACTTTCAGCGGCAATGTGTTCGAGGTGAAATAAGAGCAGTGACGGACTTCAATTCCACATGCGATGTGAGTCAATGAAAGTGGCAACGCTGCGGACAGAACGGGTACAATATTAGCATCCAAAAAATGCAAAATTTTATTTTCATCATCTTAATATGCGAATGACAGTCTTAGAACACAAATTTAAAAAAAATGCGTCAAGCTGAACAGCTGAATTTCTTCGCAAAATAGGAGTCTACTTCCGAATGGTACATTTTATTTTTATGATGATCACGGCAACACGGTCACTAAAAATAAAGAAGTTGTGAAGCTTCTGCGTCGAAATAAATACGAATCCTGAATAACTTAATTTTGTGCTAGAATGAGAATTCAACTTGGATACGTTTTGATGGCAAGCAGCTTTTAAAATTTGTTTACGCTAAAATTTCTGGTTATGATGGCCGAAGGAAAAAAAACTCATACAGTAATATTTAATATTTTCCTTATTTTTATACCGTTCGGACTGTTCTTCTGTACTTTTTAACGTAAATGTAAAATGACAAGCCCGAATATTAGATAAATGTTCCGCAGACATCACAAGTCGTACAATTCGAAAATACAGGACAATGAACGGGTGAAAACAAACCAGTAGGTTTGTTGACCAAAAAACGGTGCATGGAATTCATCTCGTGATCAAGTGTTGCCTTGCGCAAGTTCTCCCTCGCCTCTCGAACTTGAGCAGCCGAATCATTCAAGTACCGCACTAGACTCCGCTGCGATTCAAAATGATCTCTTAGTGATTGCCCACAAATACCCGTCAATGCTCGGGAAATGATCTTCAACGTTGGCGCGAAGCGTTTCCTCAGCGTATCGTCCCCGGATCCATCCAACAACCAATGCATGCGGTGAGCGAAATTTGGCGAAGTGAGCGACCGTTCCATTAAAAACAATACCAGGTCGCTGTTCAAATAGGTTTCGTATTTCAGCGCTTGAATCAGTTGCGGGAGATATTCGATAAGCTCATCTGATCCCATGCCTCCGAGCCACTCAACAGCTTTCCGTCTCACAACCAAGTCCGGGAAACAGGGTAACAGTAATACAAGTGCGTCTACGGGACGAAGAGGAGCCCATTCGCGAACCATGGCGTGCAGATCCGACAAACAGCTCCACTCCCAGCTCAAGGCAGCGAGCAAAACTTTAGGAAGAGCTCGGGGGTACGCGTGCAGATAATGACGCTTTTCCCACAATATCTCGCGATCAACGGGCTCGATGGGAGCGAATACGTCGGATTCGACTATGTCCAGAAGAAGCTGTTGGGTATTTTCGTCGAGGTACTCGAACTGCCGATTAACCGATTCGACTAGTTGTAACGGTGGCGGGAATAATACATCACCACCAAGGTCTGGAAGCTCAACTATCAGCAGAGGAGGAGCTAGTCCTAGTCCTGAAACGCACAAAGATCTCATGAAAAATCATGATCCCAAAAAATTATTTTTTACAGCGATCCTTCGCAGTTTTCGGAGGAAAGTCAATTTTTAATGCTCGATTTCAACTATGATTCCAAGTTCGACAGAATATTCTGAATATGCGGTAGACCATGATTTCTAAAATTTTAATGACATCTTCCCGATCACACTTCAACGATTGCCTCACCTGCTTCGCCCAAAGTATCGTAGAAAATTTTCTCAGAGTTGCAAGAACTTAATCCTTATTTGCATTTTTCATGAGGTGCATGAGATTGAAGCCGGAAATTTTCCAACTATTCGATGCAAAATTCGAAAATATTACTAAACTGTGCTAGATTTTATTCAATGCTGACTAGAAAAGGAAATACTGGCTACTGCAATATCAAAATATTGTCATAAATCCTCACCAGCTGGAACAGCGTAAAACGAAGGAGCTGGTCCAAGTAACGGATCAGCATCCATCGGCCACATTGTGAGCAGGTAACGACCTTGCGCCAGTTTACCGCTTTCATCGAACATCTGAAGACCAGCCCAGGCAAGTTCCCTGTACTCTGGTTTTTGTTCAGGTTGCTGTATCGAAGTATCGCCGTCACCCTTCTGCACTGCCACAAGAGTGAACACTAAGCGAGATTCCCGAGGTAAGGTACAGACGACCGTCGTTTCCACGTTGAGCCAATCATCAAAAACGATGCGGTCATAGAAGGAGGATTCAACCAAGTGTGGAGGAGTTTTGATTCGTTGTCCGACACGACGAGTTCCATGGAACAGGTTAACGAGGATCCGAAAATCCTTGTAGTTCGACCACGTTTGATCTAATCTATGAGCACTTCCAATTCGCAACAGCAACGTGTCGATCTGGTTTCGCAAATCTATGGTTTTGCAGCTTTCCTCGTCCTTGCTTCCTAACGAAAAATCAACTCGGTGACAGCGTAAGTACATGTCGAGTAAAGACCTGAAAGCGGACTCAAGTTCTGCAACGCCTGATTTCACGAGTTGCAGTGGGGAATAAGTCGAAGATCTGTCGAGCGATGCAGCTGTAGTGAATAATCTAATTCCTTTCGTGATTTCTGGCGTTTCCACTTCCAACAAAATTGCACAAAGAGCTTTCGCGGCTTGAATACACGGTTTTGTCGTGAGTTCCGAGCCACAAACTGCGTTCGATGCGATCTTTAGCAATTTGCTCATTTCTGAATTGAATACATCAAAGATGACTCCGAGTTTGGCGGCAGAGATGCCGTCTCCATAGCCTGATGGAACCAGTGCACCGACAGGAAGTTCAACGTCACGAACATCGTCGATTTCGGTGCGGAGAAACGGGCGGCGCACCATGGTTATTGGAATCAGATCGAACTTCACGTCGACGTCGAACTTGACGCAAGAGTGGACGTATTGGATCTCAAAAAGATGCTTGGTTCGATCCACGATCTCTCCTCTTTCTCTGACTTTGAAAACATAATCAGAAAGGTTTCCTGAGAGGTTTTGGGAATCCGAGAGTTCACAAACTGCTTGAGCAATCACGTGATCAACACTTGCTGTCAAGTCTGACGTGAAGGCGACCGGATGGTTTGGGCGAGTGAAGGAATAGACGAGAATTTTCACGGATAGAGTTGTAGCATCGGATCCTAGTTCCACTAATGGAGATACGGTAAAGCCTGGATTGGTCGAGGGATCGTGAGACGGATAAGATCCTCGTAATAGAGTGATAGCATTTCGTAACACCTCCACTTCTGACAAACAGGTTAATGTCGAAAGAGGCTGGAACGTGAGTTTTCCTTTCGAGGGACTTCCTGACTTTCCCACGTGAGATACATTTCTTATGACCACCGCATCATTTGTTGCGGATGACTTCGCAAAATCCACGACATTTCCTTCATCTAAAAACAAAAACCGAAATTGAAACACTTTTATTTTCACTGGAAATTCATTCACGGTCAGTTTTTCATGCATGATATTCATGCAGGTAACCCCAAGTTTCCACAAGAACCAGCATATTCTTGGCGGCTCGGCAGATGAGAACATTTATCCCTTCACAAGGCTTATTTCCATATAGGCTTCAGACTTAAATCAATAAATTAGAGCAATCTTTGTATTGTTTTAATTTCCAGTGATTTAATTTTATAGCAGCACTTTGAAAAAGGTTCCAAGTAACCATGGATTACATCGTTGAACGACATTGCTAAAACTTGACGAAATACACGCATGAAACAGTGTAAATGCATTCTGTGTGGGGCATATTCGGCACTTCGTGTGGATGCAATTTCGAGGGCAGACAACACAACGCCGACACCCAAATTGCTGAGACACCTACCTGCTTGCGACGTTCCTACTGAACAATACCCTGGGGTATTGTAAAGATCATCTCTCTCAGATCCACGACTGGATTGCTCGTACATAAATTGAAATGGATCTGCGTAAGTTTCAAAATAGGTCCAGTCGTCTTCTTTCGGCTCACATAGGGCATCAGTTCTACCGTTGCTAGCAGAAACATCATCGTCTTCATCTTCATCATTGGAAGAATTCAGAGGGTCAAAAACAGCTAAAACGCTGCCACGACCCAGAGAAGAACACGAAGGGGGAGCCAAGTCAATCAGATCCTCATTGGGCTTCTTCTCCAGAACTTTCAGTACATCCATTGATGAATTACAGAGCAAAGCTGGAGCTTTAACTAGTAGTTGTTGGTTAACTGGAAGTCTAGGAGGCAGGCGAGGAGGAATGTCGTAAGACCGTGATGCAGCCGTCGATTCCAACCATGAAGGACTGGCTTGTATTGATACAAAGGTAGCAGGGAATGTATTCGGACTTGAATTCGACGCAGAGGTGTATGGAGCCGATGTACTGAAGCTGTTTGATTCCTCTGAAGATGTGTAGGACGAACCTACATCGTTGAACCACACAATTAACAAAACTTTCTCACCAAAAAACAGAAAAATCAACTGACCGGAAGCTCGATTTTGGTTCGCGTTGTAATTCAGCGACAGATTTTCAATATCTTCCAACGACATGAACGACTTCCAGTCACCTGAGAAACGAGTACTGGAATCTCCGGACGGGACGTCATCGTCAAATTTCATCAGGTCGCCAGCTGGCTGGCGCCTACCACTTGAACTTGGCGGCGGATTTAAAAGACCCACAGGTTGCTGCCGTTCATTCGTCGACATTAATGAAGGTCTCCGCAGGACAACACCCGATCCATGCTCCGGGGGATTTGAACGTGACAACCTCAAACTATTAGCGGCTAATTGCCGACATCGTTGTTCTTCTTGATGGGTTCGCAAACTTTCTGTAATTGCCCTCTTCAGATCAAGATCCTCAACAACGTCGGACATACTGCATCCCCAGAAATCAACACTAAAGGCGAGAAATATTTGGTCTGGGCGCACATTCCACGGAGAAGAGCAACATCACGATCTGTTGAAGATTAAAGTAATCACACAGTTGAACGCATTAACATGAATCCACGGATCCACGGTCGAATTCGTTCATAACTTTGGAACGAAAGAGAAGTACGATCCCAGTTCAAAATAATCAGGAAACAACCGATAACATTTCAAGGCACCGGGAATTCCTGTCTTCGGAAGCACAACTGCACACATTTCGCGAAATCATCTCGAATACTAACCACTCAGCGTCGTTCCTCAACACGAACTAAGCCCTCACAATTCCTAACGTTTTGCAAGAATTACCCAATGGTTTCGATCTCGATCCCACTCCCGCAGTTTTCTAGCATACAGTACTGTACTTCAAAACTTTGCAGACAGGTGTCGCCAAAATTATTCTTTTACTGAACAGATAATATATTCTTTGAAAATACTTTACAGTACAGTACAGAAATTTAAAGTAATTGGGGCATATGAGAGCCGGAGCATTACCCCGGAAAACGTGTTAATAATTGCGCATTCCTAAGAACTCGCAAATAGCAAAACAATAATGCTGTAGTACAGCTGTTAGATTCCAGCACACGGTACAGCACCATGTTCATGCTCCTCTCTCATTCAGAATAAATACAGTATTCAATTTTAAATTGCAACAAAATATGTTGACATTTTGAATTACACCAAACTTACAAAAGTGAAACTGTCTACTTACTCTAAGCATGGAACAATACTGGATCATCCCTGTTTCATCCATCCGATTTTGATATCAGGGATAAAGGAATAAAATAAGTCAACTATTACAGAGCATAAACCATTCCCAGCTGCTGTTTTATGCTGTTTGAATGACTTCAGAATGATGTTTTCCATTACTTTCGGCATTTTCGAAGGTCAGAAGGTACACCTCACATCGTAGCCGCAGAAAGTTCTGAGATTTTTCCTTAGATTTCATTTGCGTAGTAAATAAGCACCTACATGTGATAATGGGTTGATGCACTGCAGGTGACCGATACCCAGGAAGGATTTTCAACCTTGATGTGAGACGTGATGCGGTACTAGTGTACTGTATAATCCCTAGTAGGGATTATACAGTATAATCCCTATATAGATCAATAAGTTCTTAGCTAATCCATTCATTGGAATAGGATCAATACATAACTGCTCAACTTACGAATTTAATGAAATAGTGCGGGAAGTATTGTGGTGACGCAAAAACGAACATGAACCAGTTAAGCAGCATAGACGCACTCCACAAATCCCGTCGTGGGTGAACAGATGGATTGACGTTTTGGAGGTCGCAGACCAAGGATGACAATTCGTTGCCTATGCCATTTGATTTCACTTGACTCATTATTTTTCCAGGTATTTGCTGCTCGACTAACATCACAAGGCCGTAACAGAGCATAATTGATCAGGTCCGATTAAAATAAATTTGGCGCTCACGTATAAAAGACATTCGTTCCGCGCATAAAATCCTGATGGTTCATGGAGTAAATTGTCTCAACGTTGTCCATGTACGTTATCAAACTGAAATAAGGCATGCCTGCCTTACGCCACACGAGTCATGTATTGGTAAGCTCAGACAGAACCACTAGTAAAGCTGCACTCGGAAGGGTTTATCTATTTCACCATTGCACTTTTGTTCCAACTCCTTTGCACACTTACTTATCTGCGACTTGCTCTTCGGTTTAACACTCACCTGGGTGAAATCAGAGAAGTCATAGACTCATAGCACTGTAATCAATGAAAGATCAGAGAAGAACACAAGTTCAATTGGGTACGAACATTATGCATTACCAGATGCGTACAAAGTATCACAGCATTAAGCGATTCACGCATTCACTTCATCGGAACACACCACCCACGGCAACGAAGTAAATAATTTCCTTCCGAATTTCCGAGGTTATTTCAACACCCTCCACAGAGAATACATTCCACTCTTGCTTCTCTTCAAATCGCCTTTAAGTTTCTCCAGACCTGTCCAACAGCTTCATTGCGTTCTCTGTCTCTTGGCCATATTATTTTGGGTCATCATGTAAGTCAATTGAAGCGTGAATCTTTCCACATCCGACTTCAAAACCATCGGTACGATCAAGTTCGACGGCATTGATACTCCAGCATTAATGAAAGCTTGCGTTTGCGCGCTGAAATGAGACACGAATGGTCAGATCAACTATTCAAAGCGATCACGGATCGCCGATCCACTAGGGGTTCGTGGTTCCGTACAGGATTATCATGAAATTCACTACTAGAACGCAAACCCCCTAATACTTTGATTTAATACCAAGAAAATACAAGTTTATTCTTTCCTCAATGAAATTCAAAGGAAAAAAAAAATCATTCCAGAAAATTCCGATAACCGGGGAAGTGAACACAAGGGGAAAAATCGCCTCACAGAAAATCGTTGTAGAGTCCAACTGTATTCCAAATCGGGGTTCGACATTATGTTCACAAAACATGTACACTATCGAACTAACTTGACCTCGCATATTTAAAACGAAACAAACTTAAACACATGAGACTTCGAACTTGTATGAACATATCAATTAATATATCAATTCTCAACTAACTCAAATCTCAACAAAACATGGAAGTGTGATTAACCCAAACATAGATATATATGAAAACAAGATCGATCAAACACCCATTACAAGACCACAGGTACTCAATACCCGATGCACATCATCAGGAACTCGACTCGAATCTACCATAGAAGCGGGGTAGCTTCGACAGTGAATAAGGGACGAATTGAATATTTCAATTTCTAGCGTAACGCGCGATTGAAAAATATATCAGAAGTCACAATTCATACTCACTCATTCAGCTTGTACAATGAAGCACCTAATACTTGAAAAGCTCGCTGCAAGTCACTCTCTTTGCACGTGGGATAAAACTGCGTGTACACGTCCCTAACCCGGACGAGCAGTTCAGAATTCTGATTCGTGTCCATGGTGATGGCGTAAAGCTGTTTATTTTGTATCAGCACCTTCCGCACGGCATACAGTCTCGCCATGCCCGGCCCGACCTGCGCAATTTGATGCAACGGGATTCGATTGTCCTTGTGACCAGCCGCGGGTAACGGGGAACTCGGTGGACTCGACAAATCAATTATGTCATCGTCTTGCTGGGCCGGACGTCGCATCCGCAACGCAGTCTGCACACGCGAGGATCCGGAAGCAGCTTGCTGCTGCTGCTGTTGTTGTGCACGCAACACGTTGTTCAATAGGGCTGCAGTGTTCATCGGTAAAAGGGCCGGCGGCTGACGAGCAGGCATGCGTCGCATTCCATTGGCATTGGCTTGAGCGATTTGCTGCTGCCACTGAACGGTTGCTTGATTCTGGCCAGACTTGTCCATATTGACGGTAAAAGACTGCGCTACTTGCCCGTTAACCAACTGCGCCCCTCTGAAAGAAAATTTGAAGAAATCGCATTAACGCAGTGTCGCCATTTTGAAGCGAGGTGAGTTTTCAGCAATGAATTTACGCTCTTAAATCTGCCTTGCGCCTCAGAAAGTAAGCAAATTCGTTTTGAAAACAAGACAAATTTTTGCACAGTAAAATGCTCAATTCCAGATTCAGGCTCAATTCCGCGCCTTACCATCGCATCCACAACGACCTAGCATCGCATTCTTTCCACCTTAACTCTACGTCCTGGAAGCAGTTGCTGATCCTCCAATTTCGATGTATGCATCGAACGAGACAATAGATAATTCACAAACGGAACCATTCAACAAGAACTAATAGTTGATCATGCTTCCCACCATTCCAAAAATTTGAAAACGAATTAAATTAGCTCAAAGAATGACAGCACTTCAACATATGCTCTCATTCACACAGGCGTTAGTTCCAGTACCACATTTCCACAGAAACAAAACCCGTCACAAATGATTTGTCTCTCAATGAAGTTTCTTCTCCAAAAGGTAGTTAAGAGTTATTCTTAGATCCAAGTACTATGATGTGAACTAGATTTACTGGACTACTAGAAGATTCGGTCTGATTTTCTAGTCGAGAAATAATGAGCGAGAAATAACGAGTAATAAATAACGCAGAAATGCTGAATTCGGGCTCGAATAGGACTTGTTCAAATCGTCATATTTCGGGGAAAACCGATAACTTGAATACTCAAGATTAAAAACCAGGATTTCTCAGAATTCCAAAAATTCAAGGCTTGCTCACTTCGTGGGATTTCCAACAACTTGCAAGGGATATGCACTGTTCCTCAAAGCAGCAGAATTCGCTTGTGCAGCAGCAACACGACTCGGGGGAGCTGCCATTCCCTACGAAACAATGATCAGGAATTGTACACATGCTCCAATGGGTCACTACTAAATTTCAAAGAGTAAGAAAAAAAAAAGGTTTAAAACTTACACCGAGGGTGTAGACTTGCTGGGCAGCAACAATATTCTGAGCAGTCGGTACTGAAAACCGAGCGACCGCTTGGTACGACGGATTCAAAGCCTGGGTACTTGCGACCGTACCTCCTGACCAACTACTGAAAAAACTGAAGAATGAAAACACACTCCGAGAGAAATCTTCAGAAATCTACCACATACCCCACAACACCATTCAGATTAGGATGGTTCATGAACTTCGGTACATTCGCCTGGGCCAACTGACGCTGCTGGGAATGTACATTCTGTTGAATCTGTTGCGCCACGACATTCGCCTGTGCCAACTGACGGTGTTGAGTGTGAACATTTTGCTGAATCTGCTGTGCAACAGCAGGCATTGCGGAGATGGCGATATTTGAAGGCCAATATTCTTGAAAATCTGTCCTTTCCGGAAAGTGTTGCTTGATATCGTTCAAGCTGACTACTGGACACGAATCCGTCGCGAAAAGCTCGTTTCGAATGCCTTGCACCTTACAACAAAACTTGAGATAGCTTAGTTCCCAGCCTTCGATCTTGACAGACTTGGCTCGTAATCGGTCTGTTTCTCCTTCGAAATAAAACAGCGGGACGAACTTGTCTCCATTTTTCACAGTGTAAGGTACCACAGAATCGCCGTTTATCCGGAAAAACCCGCAACGGTCGATGTTCGCATCGTGGGTACCAAGCACGATTTTCCGAAAACAAGTCTCGAGAAACTCGTAGAACTGCTTCGCTTCATTAAGTAACACCACCAGATCTTTGCTGGAGAACTGACCCTCTTTGGAGAACATTCCACCGCAATGCTTTTCATTAATTTCGTTCAACAGTTTGGCTTCATCGTCTGTGATGAAATAACTTCGGATGCATGTGCAGCTAACGATGTCCGTCGGAAGATGAGGTAGGAACTTATGCAGCAGTTTCGTCTCCACCATTCGTACGGCACAAAACTTTTCCTCCTGTAAAGGAATAAAAAAAATACATGCCACGTGTGAATCAGACTTTTAAGAAACCGACTCAGAGCGTCATCTACCGACGCGTTCCAATACGTATCAGTGTTATCTACACCCTACCACTGAACCTGTGCCTTTCGTTGCATACGAACACCTCACGATGGATCCGCAGTACGGTCAGAGTAGTATAAAGCTGTTTTCCCCAACCTTTTCGGGTCCGCAGACCGGCAAATTTTCAAAAAATGTTCCGCAGACCAGCGAAGTATGTAAAATTTTTGCACACTAAATTTGTTCTCTCCTTGAAATACTCCAAGGCACGTAATGAAAAAGTTTTAAGAAAGCAAAAACTTTTTCATTACGTGCCTTAGAGTATTTCAAGGAGAGAACAAATTTAGTGTGCAACAATTTTACATACTTCGCTGGTCTGCGGAACATTTTTTGAAAATTTGCCGGTCTGCGGACCCGAAAAGGTCTTAAGTTAAGAACCATTGAAGCAGCTACACAAGTGGAATGTCTCAGAAACGAAGTCTCGAAGAAAGATTTCGCAGAATGAAAATTTAAAATAACTTATTTCATCAGGTGAAAATTTTTCTTGTTTTTCATGAGATAATTTCAACTGCCATTTTGCAGCAAAAAGTTTTAGATAATAATACTGTGACGTCCTTTGTTGGTACTTTTGATGAATGTATCATGCTTGAGAAAATTTCCCGCGGAGCGGTAAAAAACTTCTGGTCCGCGGACCACGGGTTGGGGAACACTTTCGTAAAGTACTGTATTAACATTTTAGCATTTACCCAATCGTATGGCAGAAAAATCGGAGAAATTTCTAAATAAAATTTCTTCTGATCTATAACAGAACTTGAAAAAGACGAATGATTCGTCACTCTCAATCACAGTTTTTCCAGTCGAGATCTGCGATGGTGAACTGATGTTCCACTATCAATCGCAAGGCTTTCAACAGTTTTTTCTGCAGTCGTATCTCATTCAAGATATTGCGGTGTTAGCGTGAAATATCTTGTGGATACAATTTCCACAAGCAGTTTGGAGAAATGACACATCATACACCCTAAAATCATGGTAAAAAAAAAAAAACCTGCGTTTTCTCTGGCTTCATAATGCCAGTAAAGTCATCCTCCGAATAAAACATTTCCTTCGGCCCATGAAGTTTGGGTAATTTTCTAAGGAACGCGCACGAGGAGTTTTCGCCAGGTGCTATCGACATGAGTCGAATCAGTAATTTACTCCATCACACCGTACCTGTAATTTACACACGCGACGAAAATAATTTCGATTGGTACTGGATTCAATCATACTTATCACAGGCTCAACCTACAGTGCAGGCCCATGGGTTCGTATTTCATCATTCAGAAAACTTCTCAAAAATCGCGTCCTCGGTCGCACGTTGTGATCACATAAACGTCTTGGCGAATTAGAGGTATCGTCTAAATTTGCTCTCAAAAGGGCTAATTTACCGAAATTATTCTTCAGATGACTCGTGAAGTAGAGCACTTCCTGTTGCCCATTTCCCGCGAGAGATGAGAAGACGTTATTTCTCTAAAACGAAGAGTTTTTAATTTTTTTTTCGGGAAACAAACAGGAAGCCACAATAATACCATCAGATTCTTCAAGAAAATGAAAAATTTTCGATTGAACTAATCATTTTCAAACTAACATCAAATTTTTAAAAATTTTCCCCACTTCTTCATGCTCTTCCAACTCTTCACCCAAGAAAGCTGATCGTGCTTAGAATAGGCGAGATCATAAATACAGTGAACACAGTTATAACCGGGAAAACTGATTTCTCACAGAAATAAGTTGGACTGCCAGCAAATTTAGTGTGAGATGGAGGTCTCCGCTTCGAAAATCAGGCGATCAAGTTCGATCGTTTTTTCACAAATAAGTTTTTTCTACTCTTTTATGGATGTTAATGATAACACTCTTTTCTAAATTTCACTTAAACATCACAATTTAGTACTCGTATATCCACTGAATCACTCGAAAACGTTTCCATACTTCGGAAGGATCCGAACAGATAAGCCTTTTCACGAAGTGAAATAAAATACTACGTACCGCATTTCGCACTCGAATACAGTAAATCTCAGCAACAAGGAACCACTGAAGTGAATTTACAGAGAGACCCCAAGATACGGACATAATGAGTGCATCAAGAGTGTCCCTAAGTTGAATTGTCTCTAAGTCGAGTCTTGTTTCCCTATAGATTTAGATTATACAGTAAAAATTTTAATTGTTGTTTTATGGGAGAAATATTCTTCAGAATTCCCTGAAAAAAATTGTTTGCCACGTGAATTTGAATCAGTGAATACATTTTCAACTCGATACAAACATTTGGAGAATTGAATAGTGTATCTCTGCACTGTACATTGACATGTTAGCATCCAAGAAAAATTAGTAGATTAAAAAATTAATCTAAAAAACCACGTTTTCAAAAAGCAAAAAATAACCTTACACTTGGTGCGCATGGAGATTGTTGGGAAGAAGTGAAATACAAATGAAATAGATGCGCACCACGTTTAAGGTTATTTTTTGCTTTTTGAAAACGTGGTTTTTTAGATTAATTTTTTAATCTACTAATTTTT